CAGCACCCACACGATGGCTCACAATGTCTATAACTCCAGGCCTGGGGATCTGACACTCTCATCTGGCCTATGTGGGCATCAAGGACACACATGCTGTATAGGCATAATAAATACCCATGCATATAAAATTTTTTAGAAAAAGATTGAGACTGGTAAAATGGACAAAAACCAAACAGCATTAACTTGGCACTATTAGTTTTTATTACTAAAATGCTCATGGGTATTTTAAAAATAAAAAGTAAAACAAGAAGAAAGACAAACAATGATATGCTGCCTACAAGAAACTCACGTCACTATCAAAGATACATGTAGACTGCAACTGAAGGACAGGATCACAAGCATCGTGCAGAAGGAGAGCTGAACAGCTGTATGTATATCAGGTGAGATAAATTTTAAGTCATAAAAGGCCAAAAGGCCACTGTAGACGATCAACCAAAACAAGAAATAAGCACTGTAAATTCAAAACATGTGCACCCATTGCTGGAACACTCAAGTGTACAAAGCAAACACTGTCTTGTCTAAAGGTTGAAGTTGACTCTAGGCAGTAACAGATCAGAACTTCAACTCCCCACTTTGGTCAGTGGATAGACCACCTAAACAGAACCAAACAAAAACAGTTCGTGAAGAAACACTAAAATTAAAATATACTATCGATCACATAGAGGTCCATTTACACTCAGGGAGTGTTTCATGCAATGGCTAAAAATGCCAACATACAAAAAATTGTTCAAGCAGCTGGAGAGACAGCCCAGGGCACTGACTGCTCCTACAGGTAGCTGATTTCGATTCCCAGCACCCATGTGGTAGCTCACCAACATCTATAACTGCAGTTCCTGGGAACGGGATGCTTTCTTTGGGCCTTTGCCGGGGTACCTGCATTCACACAGGTATACATATACACATAAATAAATAATAAAATGTATTTTTAAAAAAAAAAAAAAGGACAGAGCATTTGTTAGGCATAAAACATGCCACAACCTGGTGTGGCCATGCAGACCTGTAACCCTAGCACTCAGAAGCTGAGGCAGAAAGATTTCAAACTGAAGGCTAGCGTTGGACATATAGCAAGATCCTGTGTGAAAGGTAGGCCGAAAACAAAGAAGGGCCGATAAGCTTGAACACATTGCAGCCATATCATAAATCTTCTCTAGTAACAACACAATAAAACTGGAACTCAACAATAATAAGTTTAGAAACGATATAAACTAAAGGGAGTTGAGTGGCATGACCTTGGGCCAATGAAATAGCTCACCATGAAAAAGAGCAGCTTAGAACACTGGCTATGCCAGTCAGGTGCCAGAGCTGAGGCCCCAGAACACACAAAAGAAAGCCAGCCGGAGGGACCCACCCAGGATTCCTACAGTGAGGCAGGAAGCTGGGACCTGAGAATCTCAGGAAAGCTCAGTTGCAAGCATGAGTGCACTATGCAGCAGCAAGAAGCAACAAGGCAGACCCTGTCTCAAGGAGGAAGAGGAGAGCTGACTCCTACCGCCAGCCATAGCTAGAGCACACCCATACAACCAAGAACAATAAATAAAGACAGTTTGAAAAAGAAGAGCATGCCCTTGAGCAATCAATGGGTTGATGAAGAAATCAAAAAGAATATTCAAAATTGCTTGAAACAAGTAAAAGTGGAAACACAACAAAGTAAACCTTTCGGGATGAATTCAAAGCTGAACCAAGAGGCAAAGCTTACAGAAACAAGCACCTGCATCACATCTGGAGGAAAAACTCAGGTGAACAACACAATGATACAAACCAGGGAGCTAGAAAAACAAGAACAAAACAAACCTAAACTTAGCAGAAGAGAAGTAACAGATCAGAGAAGACATAAACAAAATGAATAGAATAGGAAAGATAAATGAAACAAAACTGGGTTTGTTTTACAAAACAAAACACAGGGTGCACCCCTAACTGAGCAAAACAGAAGACAAAAAATAATTAAAAGCAGGGAGGAAAAAATGAGACACTAAAATGGATGCCACAGAAACAAAAGGTCATAGGGATTGCTATGAAGAACTAGATGCCAACAACTTGGATGACCTAGAAGAACCGGCTAAATTTCTGGTACATATAACGTACTAAAAGTGAACTATATAAACACAGAAAACCAAAAAAAAAAAAAAAAAAAAAAAAAACAAAACAATGAACTGCAAGAGAGAACCTGACAGAAGTCTCCTGAGGAGGAAAATTCTGGGACCAAACACTTCACTGTGGAATTTACCAAGCTTTTAAAGAACTGACACTGTTTATTCTCAAATTACAAAGGAAAACAAAACAAAAAACCAAAATAGAAGAAACCCTTCCATATTTATTCTATCAAGCCAGCACTCTTGTAACACCAAAATCAGACAATGACATTGATAACTACAAAAAAGAAAAAAAAAACAAACCAGAAATGAATCTGATGGGATCTTGTGGTCTCTGTGGACATCTATACTCACGTGCACATATGTGCACACAGACATGCACACGCTGGAAGATAATAAAGTTTACAAGTTTAGACTATAAAGTTGGACATGGTAACATGATGTGGGATTCCCCTCTGTATGCTGTGAATATGTTTTATTACCACAGCCTATGGTAGGACAGAATATAGCCAGGTGGGAAATCTGAACAGAGATATAGAGAGAGATTAGGCAGAGTCAGGGAGACGCCAGGAGAAATACGCCAGAACCTTACCCGGTAGGACACAGACTCATAGCAATACACAGATTAATAGAAATGGGTTCATTTAAGATTAGGAGTTAGTTAATAAGAAGCCTGAACTAATAGACTAACCAGTGTTGTAATTAATACAGTTTTCTGTGTGATTATTTGTTTTGGAGCTGCCAGGAAACAAACAAGCAGTCTCTGCCTACAGTAAGTAACACATGGCTGGAATCCCAATTTTCAAAAGTCAGGGAAGGAAGATTATCAAGTTCAAAACTATTTTAACTGTAATAGTGGCGCCCTGTCTCAAAATCAAAAAAATGAAATAAAAAACTCCAATAGAGGACTTACTGTTTTAAGCAGGATGTTTAAGTGTAACTTCATTGTTCTTTGTTGTTTTGGAAAGATAATAGTTTTGTCTCTTGGCCATAATCTAAGGCTACAGAGATAGTTTCATTGCTTGGCTTGACCAACAGGGCCCACATTTTGAATGTATTTTCAGCCGCATACATAACTGATAATAAAACAGTATTTTCTAGTTGAAGGAACAATATGAGCTCAGTGTTTATCAGCAACAAAACTCATCACTACATGTTGCAATATACTGCAACCTTGCTTTCAATTGTGGAAGCTCTGGCCAAATGAGTTATGCTTCAAACAGCTTAGCATAAACACACACACACATATGCACACACATGTACACACACACATACACACACACACACACTGATGAAAGAAAGCTAAGCATGTTTGATGGTTTCTATGAACATCAGTTTCCTGGCTACAATACTGTATTCCAATGATTCTTGGTTCTCAACTATGTCTGGAATTAACTAAAAACCCAACAGTTGGGCACACCTTTGAGGGATTTTTTGTTATTTGAATCTTTTGAAATAGGAAGACCCACCTTAAATCTTTTGAGGTGGGAAGACCCATCCTAAATCTGGCCACACTTCTCAATGGCAGCTTACACAAAGAACATGGAAGAAGGCGGCTTTTGCTCTTTGCTTGCTTGCCCTCCTTCTCGCTGGCAAGTTCATCTATCCTGCTGCTGCGGCGTTCCCTCACTGGCATCAGAGCCTTGAGCCTGCTTTATGGGGAGTCTGACATATACTGAAGACCAGCTGAGACAGCCCGTCTCATGGAACGGACAACTATTGGGTTCTTGAAACTTCCATTGAGAGACAGCCTGTGAGGGCCCACAGATTTGAGCTTGTCCCACCCTGCCTGGAGGTCAGAAAGTCTGAGCTTATTTTTGCTCTTTCAAGGTTGTTGACAATGGGTGTGGCTACAAAACAGAAACTCTGACCTAGGATGTGGTTACTTGGTGTTTTGGACATTAAGATGGCCCATAGTGGGGGATCTGCTTCAGCCTGACCAAAGGTCAGAGGATTCATCCTATTTCTGCTCCTTCACTTTAAAATAGGAAGTTTGACATAGGAAGTAACTGCCTATAGGATACTTTGTCTAAGATGTATTCTTTACATATTCTGCCCAAAACATCAAAATGCTTTACTCAGGAAATAATGGCTTGATGTCTCAAGTATTGTTATACTTTGTGTCACGTTAAAGAGTATTTCCGCCTTCTTCCCCTATTTTGTATTGGGGTATGAAAGCATACGAAAATTAAACGTGGGCTAATTCAGTATTCAGTAGCCACTAAGTTGCCCTCCTGGTACTCTCCTATGTCTGTGTTTCTCTCATATCTCTGTTCCTCCTACCTAATGTTTCTAATCCTCACGCCCCTACGCTGGAATGCACAAACCTGTTATGGCTGGACTGCGAGAGACGTCCCCCCCAAGTGTGGCTTACGACAACAGCCATTATTAGATTAGCTGTCTAATATGTCTATGATGATCACAAAATAAGAAGGAAAAACCAAAAGCAAGGATGAGAGCAATATGGTTCTTTGGCATCTAGTTTCTAAAGATACATGTATACTTGACTCGTAGCACTGCGAACCAAGGCTGCCACCCAGAGAGAGCCCACCGCTCTCGGGTGCACACCAGCCATAGATTAATTCTATTTTAATCAGGATAACTAAGCAGAAACAGACCACTCACTTCTGAGGAGGAGAGCGGGAGAAGCGGCTATAGGAGGTATATCTACCGTTCCCAGTTCGCCCTTCGTGGCTGCTTAGCTTTGTTTGTGCTATTGGCATTTCTCACGGGCAGGACAATTTTTGTAGAGTGGGGACAGAATGGGCATTTCAAATCTAAAGCAACCAAGAGCAAGACACAGCAGCCCAGCCTAGCGTGCCAGCCTAGGGGAATGCCTGTGAGGAACCAGAAGCCGCGCCTCCCATCTCGGGGAGGAAGCAAGCGCGAAGGGTGCCGATTGGGTCTTACGGCTAGAGACGCAGTAGCACAGTCTGCCGTTGATCTTGCGGAACAGCTGCTTGTTGATGGGCCAGAGGACCAGTGTGCACAGCTGGATGGCGTTGACGATGAGCCCCGAGGCGATGAACACATAGCAGAACACCAGGTGGCACAGAAACTGGGACTTCAGCAGCCCGACGAGGTCCATGACGAGGGGGAGTTCTCAAAGTAGAGAAATGTGGATGGTGGGATAGTTCCAGAAGCGAGAGAGAGCCGGGGCTCAGGAAAGCGGCTGAAACACAGAAATGTTATACATTAGCACCAGCATGGTGTGCTTTATATTAGAGAACCCGCTTCCAGGAAGAGCAGACACCGGAAGCTAAAAGCTGACTCATTTCTGTCTAGTAGGCATCGCTATGGCATTGCTTCCTGTTGGTCAGTCTAGGCCCTGTTAGGACCGTGTTCCCGTTAATCCTCCCAGCAGCCTCTGGGGCCAGTCCCAGGCCTGGAAAAATGAAACGACTAGATCAAGATCATTTAAGTTGCTATTCAAACAGCAGCCATGGTGGCATAGATTCCCAGACTCACACTGAGTGGCCCCTGCTTGGGCCTTCTCAGGCAACACAGCCTTGCCCAGCCCTTCCCCATTTTCCTCTGCTTGCTTTCCTACAGACCTCACCTCACCACTCCCTGCTAGCTGGACTTTCCAGAATTCAAGATGACCCTGGACAGTATTAGGGGACACAGCTGGGCTTGTCTCTACCCTCAAGAGCCTTAGACTAGTTCACAGTGGACAGCTCAATCTGCCGTAAGTTGTCTACTGTCCTAATTGGGGGTTCATCTTCACTCCCAGTACCTTAGGCCGATCCTCAGTGTACTGTATGCCTATACATACATATGTAATTTGTACAGGTATATGGCACCCACCCCATAAGAGTTGTTAAATCAGAAAGTAACTCTGCCAGCACAGAGAGTCCAGACGTGTAATGCCATTAAGCAGTCTCCAGGTCTGGAACAAAAAGGATAAAATGACCTCACAGTTCGGCAGAAAGGGCCCTGGAAGAAAGGGTGAAGGCGGGCTCGCTTCTCCCAGGAGCCAAGATGACTGCAGACTTCCAAGGAAGCCTCAAGCTTTAGGAAAAACTTCCTCACATTTGGCAGAGGTTAGAATTGCTAACTTGTTATCATGCAAAAGATGACCGATCTGTAGATGTTCACATCTGTTAGCTTAGCATGACCACCAACCTGTAGATATTCACATCTGTTGGCTTAGCATTACCACCGATCTATAGGTGTTCACATCTGTTAGCTTAGCATGACCACCGATCTGTAGATGCTCACATATGTTAGCTTATCCTAGATGCCTAGTAAACCTATGAGTTGAGGCTTTTGTTTTCAGACAGGGTCTCATGTACCCCAGGCTGACCTCAAACTCTGAGTAGCCAAGAATGGTGACCTTGAACTCCTGACCCTTTTGCTCTCACCTCCTGAATGCTGAGATCACGGGTGTGTGCTATACACCAGATTCATGTGGTTCTGGGGATGAAACCCAGGGCTTAAGGCAAGCCTAGGCAAGGACTCTACCAACTGAACCATTTTCCAGAGCAAGGAAAGGGGCAGTTCCTAGGCTGGGTGACCTCCATAAGATTATGGCAATTGGTAGCTGACTTTAGGGCTTCAGTCCCTCTTCTGCACCTGTCCAGGCTGTTCTGCCCATGGGAGAGGAGGGCGCTCTCCTGACTCATACTTCTTTGCACAGCAGCTCACACAGTCCCCCAAGAGCAAAAGACAGGGCAGTCTGCAGTGAAGTTCCGAGTCACAAAGGACACTCAAGTGGGAAGATAGAGCAGGGGCTCAGTCTTGGGTCATCTGCACGGACTTTAAGATGGTCTTGACAACGAGGAGGGCACAAGAAGAATGCTGGTTCGTCCTAAGGATGTAGTTGGAGCTGCAGGCTGCGTTCCTGCCCAGCTCCCACACGGCTAGCTTTACACCCAAAATAACAACACACAAATTGTATTCATTTAAACACTGCCTGGCCCATTAGTTTCAGCCTATTATTAGCTAATTCTCACATCTTGCTTTAACCCATATTTAGTAATCTGTATAGCACCACGAGGTGGTGGCTTACCAGGAAACATTCAGCATGTCTGACCTGGCCGCTGGCTTCTTGGCCACTGCCCTGGAGAGGACAGGCATGGCATCTGGCTCACTTCCCTTCTTCCCTGCATTCTGTTCTGTCTACTCCACACACCTAAGGGCTGGCCTATCAAATAAGCCAAGGCAGTTTCTTTATTAACCAATGAAATAAACAGATTGACATATGACCTTCCTACATCATAAGGATTTCAGGGAGACACCTGCAGTCCTGTGCAATTCCCACACCTTTCCGGAAGGAAAGAAATGCAGGGGGAGAGCAGGTCCAATTTCTTAGCAGTTAGCTTGGCCTAGCAGACATGGCCCGTCCTATGCCTCACAGGCCCCGCACTCTCAGTATGGGTATGGGTATAGACTTGGGGTTTCCCTGGGTAGCTTGGATTTGAAGCTGTGATCTACCATGGCTACTCCATTTTAATCAAAATTTTAAGGGAGATAATGTTTCTTGGCTCTGTGGAACTTAATTTGGCTTCCATGGTCTGAATAAACCACCAAAGATTGATGCTTTAGATGCCTGGTCACAGTGCTTTATCACAGCAATAGAAATCCTAACTAAGACAACCAAAAGCCAGAGAGAAGCAAGCAGCATGCTTTAGAACCTCCAGCACAGAAAATTAGGTAATTTTTTTTTCTTGAGACATCATCCAGGTTCTAGTATTTGATTATAGAGATGCATCAAAACTTGATTGAAAAACAAAAGCAAAATAAGTCATGATATCACCTGAAGAACAGAGAGAGAGAGGGAGAGGGAAGCAGAGAGAGAGAGAGAGAGCAAGAGAGAACACTAAATCATTAGAGAGGTATCGGGTATGTCTGGTGTGGAAAAGATATGAATTTTAATCCCAGATAAATGGGGGACCTGCCATTCTGAATTAAAAAGAACTTTCTCTTCTAATGTGGCAACTAGCCAGTTTCACATCAGGCTGAGAAAATATGGTATAAATACCAGAGCGGAGATGAAAACAGCTAGAGAGAAAATACTGTAAGATTCTTTGCCTGTTTTTCTTTCCACTTGGAAGTCCTTAGACTTTGTAGAAAAGCCCCCCAGCCAAGCCACTTAGACAGTCTGTGATCAGACGAGGCAAGAGACAGAATTGTACACTACTTCTCAGAAGATCCAAACGATAACCTACGGGATTCAGAGACCAACCATAACAATGAAGTTGTATCTACGTCATAACTTTGTAAATAACGATGCATTGATCAACACAGTGATGGTGGCTTAACCTCTTCAGCCATCAGTTTCCCCATGTATGAACCAGCATGAGGCAGTTGAAAGGAGAGAGATGATAGATGAAAGATAGATGGATGGATAGATAGATAGATAGATAGATAGATAGATAGATAGATAGATAACAGATTCATAGTAAAGTAGTAACTTATAGATGATAGGTCAAGGATAGGTAGATAGATTGATAGGTCATTGATCAAAAATAGACTTACAAATAGATGATAGATTCATAGGTAGTAGATAAATGATAGGCAATAAAGGGTAAATAGGAAGATAAATAGATATATAGATGATAGGTTAAAGACATAGATGATTCATAATAAGTGATAGACTATAGACAGACACACAGAGCAATAGAACTCACCTCTACTCTATGATCAATCCACAACCATCTACTAATAGTGCCTTAACTGGTGGGAGAGTTATGGCTTAGTTCTGTGATTTTCTGTTTTTCTCTGCCAAATGAATGAGACCTGTCCTGCAGGAACAGAGCTTGACCGATCCCTATCCCAGCTCTCGGAGGTTGATGTGGTTATTGACAAACATGCAGGGTGAGGGGAGGCACCCACATGTCTGTGAGGGAGGAAGAGCATGCTGCCTACTAACTGAGAAGAAAGGAGGGATCATCCACCAGTTAGTAACAAGGGAATCCTGGAATATGAAGAAGTTGGGACTATGGAAACCCAAGTTCCACAGTGTGCACAGGGCACCATGGCACGGGGCACTGTAAACCAGTGATCCTGGCAGCCTAGACACAAATCCAAGCTTGGCCATTTCTCTAAGTTCCTCTCTGAGAAATCAGAGTGGCTCTATCTAACCCAGGCAGTTCTGAGGATGAGGAGAATAGCATGTCTGATATACTAGCATGATGCCTGCAACACGGAAGTTCTCTCACTTCCAATAAGGCAAGAAAGCAAGGAGGAAGTAGCAAGGGGAAGCTGTGGGCTGTGGGTAGACTCTTCCTCCTCTTAGCTCCTCCATCCATCTTACTTAGGTGTTGGCATCTCCTCAGTGTGTCTCAAAGCAGGTCATGTTGCTCGTTCTCCACGGGTTCAAGTCCCAGCACACACATGGTAACTCTCAAGCATCTGTAACTCCCATTCTAGAGATTCTGATGCCCTCTTCTGGCTTCTGCAGGCACCGTGTGCACATCACATCATACACACACACACACACACACACACACACACACACACACACACAAAACACCCACATAAAAGAAAAAAATAAATAAAATTTTATACAATTCACGTGACTTTATCTCCTTTGTTAACTTTAATTGGACATTAAAGTGCAAACCAGCGGAAGCCACCAACTCGTTGGATTCCTTAGGTAGCACACTAGCATGGAGTTTACAGACAGTGAGCTATACAAGTGCACACACATACACATGACCTTCATAGTCTTGACATGTTACGGATGCTTAAGCAGATAGAAGAGTTTGAACTGTACCCTTCTCTAGACAGAGACAGAGCAGAAGCAAACAGGAGAGCTACACCCTCTGCCTCATCCAGGATCTGCAGCTGTGAAGAAAGCGTGAGGACAACCACAGGCAGGAGAGGCCGAGTCCAAACTAGGATCAGGAGGCAACAGTTTCATTTTAAAGTCCTCCATCCACTCACCCTCCCACAACCCACCCATCATCTGCCTGTCTGTCTATCTATCTCTCTATTGCACATGTTATATCTATCATCTATTTATCTATATCTACTATCCATTTATTTATCATCTGTCTATTTATTACACATTACAGAGCTATCTATTTATCATCTATCTGTCTATATATCATCTATCTATCTATCTATCTATCTATCTATCTATCTATCTATCTATCACTCATGCCTTAGCACCCAATTAGGCCAGGTGCTTAGAGAGGCCAAACCCCTTCCTGTGTTCTAAGCAAA